TTTGTTTGTTTGTTTGTTTGTTTGTTTGTTTGTTTGTTTGTTTGTTTGTTTGTTTGTTTGTTTGTTTGTTTTTGCATGTGTGTGTGACTTGCATCAATCATAGAAATTTATATTGACTTCCATTAATTTTTGTAGCTGAATTTATGCATAACCCAGCCATTTTCCCAAACTCTAATCATTACTGGTCTAATCTTAACCCTAACCTGAACCAAAACACACCATATATCTAAACCTAACTAGTAAAGTGCAGTAGAACTGCACTTTAGGAATAGACTAATGATTAGTTTTAGGGAAAATATCTGGGTTACGCATAAATAGTTACAGAAAAGAACGGAAGTCAATACAAAGTTCTCAGTTTGATGCAAGTACAACGATGATTTGTGTGTGTGTGTGTGTGTGTGTGTGTGTGTGTGTGTTACAAGAGTAACTTTACAGCATGTTAGTTACCTGTGGATAAAAGGAGAATTTTAGGGAAAAAAAAGTTATGTTGCATATTGTTAGATAGCGGTATATATTCATGTTTAATAACGTGTTTTTCAGTAAACAGTATATCCCTGGTTCTCACTCATTTTACAACTGTTTGTTCCCCTCGTTTTTTTTGTAGCTTTGCTTTAAAGTTTAAAATCTTAGTCTATTGATGTTTGTCTCAATTAAATTACTTTCATCAGCTCTTCTATTTAAAATCTTGACAGTTTTCTGAAGTTGAAATCAGAGAAATTAGGTTCTTAAGGTTCCAGAAATTTTCAAACAAAGTATACAGTATAGTACAAAGCAGAAAATTCCTAAAGCTGAAATAATACTACTGGCCTGTTGGGGGTGTAGCCTCACTCATTTATCCTTGATGGCTGCAGAGGGGGMTGRAGCCTGTCCCACCAGTCAATAGGTGAGAKGYGGGGTACAYYATGTTCAGGTCAATGAAGCATCACAGAGACAAACAACCTGCACTCTGACACACAGAGGRCCTGTAGTGAAGCAGAGAGAAGAAACATCACTAAAGACCTTAAAAAGCTGACCATTTTCAAACTGATGTTTTCAGTTATTGTTATCCTAATGGGTGAAAGCCTTTTTAAATGCAGAATATTCTTCACTTTGTAAACATTTTCAAAATTAATATCAAAAACCTTTGTATTATTTCATTGGATGACACATTATTGTAGACTGAAAGGTTGTAGCCGCACACAATAACAAAAGTTGATAAAACGTTATGGGCCATAATGCTTTGTTTCGTTATAGGAATAAACATATTTGCTTTCATTAGTGTACTTGTTTCTGTTTTMTACCCTGATTTTTCAGGTTTAAGACCTTTTCGACATTTTGATTTGTCTCAACATGCAAAGGGGAACATTCTTTCTATCAATTCAATCCAATTCAATTCAAAAATACTTTATAGATCCCAGAGGGAAATTAGGTAATTACATTAGGTAATTACAAAAATTAGGTATTAGGTATCACACTCTGACTTCAGAAAAATATCTCTCTTTTTTTCGGCACTAGGTTTCTCAACACCTCAACAAGTAAACACAAAGTAGGAACCACTTTCAAACAGAGAAGGATGCTTTTTTGTCCAGCTCAACCTCTCACAACTACTGACGCAAGAATGGCATCCTATTCAACTTAAGTTCTGTTAAGAAATTTTAAACATGTATGTAAAATCTTGTCCTAGATGAATAAAATTCTTCATTTCTAGTGTCATAGAAATGACCGTTGTGTGAACAACAAACAAACAAAGCTACGTGAAGATGCCACACTGACAGAAGCTGTGGTGGGCCTTTTCTCCGCCCCTAGGCCAACTACTGAACGTGTTTACTCAGATCTTGTTTCATTTCCTTCTACCAAATAAAACATGAGAAGGCCTGCAAGAGTCTTCTAAAGTTAATTTTAACTGAGCAAAGGGAAACTGTTGTTT